ACCCATGGCATTAAGACCCGAGTTGGGGAGGAGGTGTTGCACATGCCGCTTCGAGGAGCGGGCGGCACCGACGTCGCACCGATATGAGACACGTTCATATAAAATAGAAGCGTTGTACTATTTGGACCGAGTGTGCAACGTTTGTTGTTGAGTGGAGGGGCGGGATTCGCCTGAATTGAGACTCCTTGGGGTTGAATAATGGGTAGATGTACCGGGTTTTGTGGCTGCATCTTGCTGGATAGCAAGAGCAAGGCCTTGGATAGAAGTTGATTGTAAAGGTCTAGTCTTTTGTTGTGAATGAGGTCAAGTATCGGGGTGGAATTGAGCAACTTGGTGGGCGTACCTCGTGGATTGCCATGTTTGCAAAGGACAAGGCGTCTTTTCGACTTGAGCACATACATTGAGCAGCATGAGCCCGTTTGTTCATTTCAACGCAACAATGATGTGGCTCGTGCTTGTATCAAGTTATTTGTTTGTGCTGTATACCGTGGTAGTGTAGGGTAGTTTCCGATGAGCAAAGAGGTAACGCACACAGCTCTACATTCCATCGCGCCAATGTAGCTCAGGTGGTCCTAGTTTATCCTCATGTACCATGGACTAGACTATCACAGGTCAAGATGGGACTTTTGAAACGGCACACTGTTGTGAGCGTGCCGCCAAAACGTCAACGCCACGATGGGCCCTTTATCATCTAGGGAGCGCATTTTCCTCCGTTTGGAAAAACCCGCCAGAAAATGGTTGATGAAAAATGACAGAAAAGCAACAATACCAATGGAGTGAATGTGGCGACTCCTCCAGGAAGCAAATCATGGCGGAGATCATGTCTCCTGAACAACCCAGGTGGTGTTTCCACGTAAGGTAAACGCCGCGGGCCGAGAAAGGGTTCCGGTCTTGACCACGCGCACGTAGTCAGCGGCCATGATGTTGAAAAAAATACGAAATGAAAAGAAACAAAGGAGTGGCATGTATAATGGTCCATTGTAGAACAAGTGGCCATTCCCAAGTCTCAAGTGCCAATCAGGGCCGTGACCTTTGGCGATGCCGCAAGCGAATTGCTACATGTGCCGCAAAAAAGTCCATTGTTCCCCGTCTTCGAATATAGCACACGCCTGCGGTCAGCAGCACATGATGACGGACGCCTTGCCACGCGGGCAATACGAGCTCCGTTGCTCCAGACGGCTATTATCCGATCCCTCTACTGCTGACGGCAACGTTCAAATTGACCTAGGTAGCATTCAAAGAATTCCATCCTGCCAAACCAAGGCTGCCTGCTCAGTTTGCTTGTTACTCTGTCCACCGTCGTGTCGACGGCTAGTAGAGAAGGCGATGAACGGCGTTGCCTAGTTTCGATCATATCCGAAGAAGCCGTGCCCAAAGTGCTCCGTACGAGCTTCCTTGCCCATGGAGACTCACACCGCCGACACGACGGCCAATCTAACACAAAGACGATCCACGGCTGCAAACAAGTGACGTTTGCAATACGGATATCTAAGAAATACATATAAGACGAGAAAAGCCCTGCCTCCTACACCACCACGACCAAAAAACATCTCAACTACTCATATCCTTAAACCTCATATCTCGCCACGACCACTGAGCAAAATGAAAGCCACGAGCATTCTCGCCGCCCTCCTCGCCGCCTCCTCTGCCTCAGCAATGCCCGCCCACACCATCCAGCCAGACCAAGTCCTCGAGACTTCCGCCGAATTCGCAGCCCAGTTCAACCCAGCCCCCGTGCCCAGATGGACCGTCCACGAGGCGCGGCGTGCCTGCGCACAAGACGACAGCCTCTGCACCTGGCGCTTCCTCATGGACACGCACGTCGCTGCCAAGACGGACGTCACGTTTGTCGTCCGCGGCCCGGGGGCCTCTCGCAACAGCGGCGAAGCCCAGAACGTCGGCGACTTTACGTTTACTTCTGGCTATGACGCGGCTGGCTTTACGACCTTTGCTGCCGTGGACAATGGGCGTGGCTTGATTGCGTTTCCGGCGTACAGCGATGCGGATGTTGCGGATGGTCGCGTTGCTGGGGACCGCGACTACGACGTGTACTATGTGCGTTCTTGAATGGTGATCACTGATGGTTGCTACGGGGGCTCTTGGACGGATGTTTTTGTGACATTTGTGGAATGGCGCCGCGTGAGTAGAACAATATTGAAGCGCTGCTGGGAAGACAGTAGCTTTGTGTTTGATGTTGAGTGCCCTTTTTTTGAGGTTCGGCCACTCCTTTATAGAGCCTCTTTTGGTTGAGAGTTGGCAAGTTTTGTATAGATGCAGAAATCGAGTCATTGTTCCGGATATGATGTAAAGCATTACTTTGTGTGCCTAGACAAGGGCTCTGACCAGTAGTCTTTATTGTGTGAATTGATCAACTAGACCCATCACAAGACGGGCGATTTCCCAGACTCGATCAAGACTTCCACCTGAATGCGGGATGCTTCCAGTCCAGATCCTCGACTTGCTTGGACGTCAACGCGCCCAACTCGGCCTCGACGTTGCGCCCTTCTCGCTTGCGGTTATCCCTCTTCATCCACGCCCACATCAGCGCACTGGCAACGAGCGTCATGCTTGCCGTCGCCAGGTTGAGCCCGTTTCCGACATGATAATCCGGCGCATCCCAGGGGAGAAAGGCCCACGCGGCAATCAGGCCGCCCACATTGCCGCACATGACGTTGAGCCCAATCGCCGCACTCCGGGCGGTATCGCTGACGATGTTGGCCGAAACATGGGCGTTGGTCAGGGGGCCAAAGGCAAAGGCCGACGATGCGATGAGAAACGTGGCGGCGTACCGCGCCGTCGCGTCCCTCGTGCCCAGGAAGATGCAGTAGCCGACCATGACGAGAGGCGCCGACAGCACACAAAAGACGAGACGCCGATCGACGCGCCAGCTCATCAGGGGGAGCAGGACGGTGAAGAAGCCGCCGACAACGTAGGGAGGCACCGTGTACAGCTGCTGCCGCACGACGGTCGCGCCGCCGTAGATGGTCTGCACAATGGTGGGCGCAAAGAAGGCGAGGCTCTGCACGGTGACATTGTTCAGGAGGAAGACGAGGGCCGTGGCGAGCGTCACGGGGCAGCCCATGCCGCGGCGCAGCTTGACGCCGTCGATGGCGTCGAGCATGGCGGCGCCCATGCGCTCCGACTCGACGCGCGCGACGGCCAGCGCCTTCTCCTCCCGCGACAGCCACCGCGCCGACAGCGGGCTGCCCGTCAGCGTGACGAGGGCGAGCAGGCCGAGGCCGACAGTAACAATACCCTCGACGGCAAAGATCATGCGCCAGGCGCGCAGGCCGCCGACGTGGTCGAGGGTCAGGATGGCCGAGGCCAGCAGGCCCCCAAAGGCGCCGGCCAGGGGCGCCATGACAATGTACAGCGACAGCCGAAAGGCCAGCTCGGCGCGGCGGTACCAGCGCGAGAGGTAGTAGGCGATGCCGGGCATCATGCCGGCCTCGAAGACGCCGAGGAGGAAGCGCACGCCCATGGCCTGGGGCACCGTCGTGACAAAGGCGTTGCACACGGACGCGACGCCGAAGAGGACGACGCTCAGCGGCAGGAACCAGCCCGGGCCGAGCCACTTGCAGCACAGCGTGCCGGGGATCTCGAAGAGAATGTACGACACGTAGAAGACGCTGATGAGGCGGTTGTAGTCGTAGCCGCGCATGCCGAGGTCCCTGTCCAGCCCGGCGATTTTGGCATTCCCTGGAGACGGCACGGCGTCAGCGGTGAGCAGGTCAAGCTGGCATGGATGATGGACTTGTGCCCCCCCTTCTCATCTTGTCACGCACCTAGGTTGGCGCGGTCGATGAAGCAAAACAGGTACAGCAGCGAGACTGTCGGGACGATGAAGAGGTCGATTTTGAGGCGCAGCCTGCGTTCGGCGGCGGCGTCCAGGACGACGCTTCCTTGGGCCAGGCTGGTGCACACCAGACGTTTAGCAATCTGATGATGGAGTCTTGGGTTCATGTGTATGTGTGAGCGTACCTGTCTCTCTGCGGCTTCTCGTCGCGAGAGGCGTCGCTGGACTGGGCGTTGATCATGGCTTCCTCACGGCTGCTGCGAGGCAACACCGTCTGCGCCCCGAGATGCTGGGCCTTGGACTCGTGGGCCGCCATGGAGGCGAATACATTCAGCGAAGCTGCACATGTGCCCTTGATGCAGGCAAGTGAAGAGACTTGACATCTGGAGGAAGAAGGTGCCGCGGGCTGCGGGGGCAAACGCTGTCTGCACATGTGTGCTGCGTAGAAACCTTGGCATTATCACGTCAGCTGTCGCGGAGCTGATTCGTACTCCCAGCGCCAGGTTCCGGCCATTATCAGCTGTCGAATCAATTCTGCTTCATTCTTCATTGGCAAGCGGGTGGTTCCTGCTTGGCAGATGTAGCGTGGGGGCCAGACCCCTCTATTGCATGTCAAATCGCGTCGAGGCAGCCAAGGCAAGCCTTGTCCGAAGCCACGGCTTGTCGGTTCCGAACAACCCTAACCCTGGTGCAGCTATCGAGGTCGGCATATTTTAATAGACAGCTGGAAGACACTACGCGTCTGTCACTGTACCGGTGGACCGCTGGGCGGGTTTACATATTCTCCGGCTGGCCCATTATCCGAACAAAGAATGGAAACCAGTCTCGTCACTCTTCCTCAGACAAACAACAGTCCAGTGACACATGACATGCGGCACCACCGAGGGCCGCAAAGTATTCAAGTTAGAACAGGTGGCCATGGAAGAACCAGCGTTACGTGGCTTTGAAAATCACCAACAGCTCACCTGCAGTCCAAGCAGCCGCGCGGAAGGAAATTGACATTTCAAACCACATGTGCTCCATGTGGACGACGCACTCGGGCCAGGAATATATCTGCAAGATGCTTGATTCCTTTGAAATTAAAAGGTCACGGCCGACGCACCTCTGCCTACCTGAGAAGAGAAGCACAGCCAGAGATCTACTAGACGACCCTTGGCTAAATTATAGATGCATATGAATGAATGATGCTCAAAATACTAGCCCGTTACTTCTTGGACTTCTTCCCTTTATCGGAAGAGCTCGTCTGTTCCATTGGGCCATCGTAGACCCAATATGCACTGGCCGAGACGCCTCCGTAGAAGGATTCCTTAGAATACCAGATATGTCTGCCGCCAAGGGGCTCCGGGTAATAGTAATGTGACGTGGTTATTCTCTTGTCTTTGTCGTTGCTCACCTTGAACTTGGCGTGTATCGGGCCGACGTAGACATGACCATCGATTATGTGCTTGCTTTCGTGCGGAGTGTATCTATCGGTGCTATGTAAACATTTATACCTATTCAGGAATAAAAGCATAAGAAGCTTATATTCGCCAAATAAGCTCATAATACTTTAAGCCGTCTTTTAATAACTTGATGTGCACATGCGCTCGTTTAACTTTGCCTTATCCCTAATCAATTTTAGCCGCCATGTTCTGATTACTCTGCTCCTTGGAGCCTAGAAATCACTCCCCTTCCCACCAAAGCCGGAGGCAAAAAGTCGAGTATTACCAAGATCAGGTGTCTGGCTACCGGCTCACACCATACTACATCATAGCATCTTAGTATACACCTTTTGATAGGCGAACACCGTCCGCCACGTACTGTTCCCAGGCAGAGCGAATGCCGGCAGAATAAACAGCCAACGGCATCATCAGGTGGTCGCAGCATGCAAACGCAAGCGCCCCTATCTGCCTCAGGAACGGGGCGACGGCCTTGGCGAGGAAACCATCGCCAAAGTACACCCACCTTTGGCCTGAGGGCTGCTGGAGAGATCTGACAACATGAACGGCAAATACAGGCGGAAAGCAGAGGACCGAAAAAAACGCCCAAAAAGGCATAAAGTATTCATAACCCCTGCAGTATCGAATCGTGTCAGTCGAATCGTGCGAGCTAGAAACAGCAATCATTATTCTAGATGGCGGGTTACGCACTTACGCCTCGAGGAAGACATCGTGAATCCGGAAAAAACCGGGCAAAACAGCCTCGACCAAGCTCTCCAGCCATGTCTCCAGACTGCAGTAGTTGCTCACGCATGACGACGGCAGCAGGAGGCTGAAACGCAGAGCCAGATACAACAAGAGTGGCAGGAGACATGGCGGCCACCTCAGGCGCGAGGATACCGGGAGGAGGTGAGAAATGATGTCTTGGCGATACATCCAGGCTGTCAAGGTGACGAGATAGGGAACAAGATCGCGTATGGTGGGGAGAATAGCAGCTGGTATGCTTATTGTAGCCATGTTGCAGAAGGAGCAGAGTGAAGCTGCGTGTATGGAAGCGGAGATATTGAGCTGTGTATTCTTGGAGGAATAAAATCAGGCATGGATATTGGGCGCGGAGAGTATTTATAAATGCCCATGGGGTATGGACTTTTTGGGTCTTGACCAAATGTCTTGTCAAGTCGACTAGCAGACGGTCATGGCTTTACCTACTTGTTTAGTCTCGCTAGCTTACATTTGGCTGTACATGTATGCATGCATTAACCATAAAACATGCTAATACATGGGAACATGGAGCGCTTGATAGAGTTCCCCGGCGCTTGGCCTAACCAGCCACCTAGCAGGAGACACTAACCGGACCAAGGGCTGCAATTGCCGCCTCTCTTTGCCCCGTGTGTACAAGGTCAGATGCCATAAGAATCGTTGCCTCTTTCCAGCTAAAACGTCATGTCCGGGTTGAGTCGTCTCATGGCGTTTGCTACCAAGATACCAGAGCAACGTTGTTCAATGACTACTTTGCTCTCGGCGCACATGACGGATGAAGAATGAATAGCCCTTGCATTGCAGAGTCTGCATTCTTTTTCAACGCCACCCATCATGTTGGCCAGGTTTCTTAGGCTTCTCTTACACTGAACATGGCCAATATGAATTCAACTACATCTGCATCCCGCTTTCACCATACGCGCAGTGCATGTGAGATGGCAGATGAGAACGGATGAAACCCCCAAGACCATGTGACAAGGCATGAGAGGCGTAAAGATACTTGTCTAATTTATAGATTTGCTGCCATTTGCGTAACAGCAAACATACGAATACAGGACCAAGCTTTGCCGGGAATATCGTCTCGATTGTGTATGTATTGCAAAGCATCGTCTCCGTTATTCGTTGTACCGAAACGAGCGGCTGTCAAATGGGCCCCCGAACCTCAATGTCCAACCAGGTCTCCAATCTTGAAATTACCTGCCCGCTTACAAAATCCACGTCATTCTGCCAAGTTGCTCCGAGCCTCGGTGTGCGTGTCTGGCACAAGTTGAACAATTGCCGAATAAGTGGGGCTCAACTGCCGACAGTCAACCAACCATGGCTGGCGGAAAAGGCCGAGCACTCGGCTTATTATCAATGTGCCGACAAGTCCCACCATACGAGTATACGATATAAAAGGTGTGAATAGTTAGAAATTTTAGATGCATTGGGACATTTTTCTATTTTTTCCCATGTCCTATTACAAATGACTGACCCTACTACACAAACATCCCATGCTAGTTGCAGCATGGACATGCCATCTGACCTCGAAGAGCCCAAGCCTCCCGCAGACTGGCCCGAAGGAGGCACCAGAGCGTGGTTGGTGGTGGCAGGAGGCTTTTGCGTCTCGTTTTCAACATTTGGATACTCGAATGCATACGGGTATGGTTGCCCCGTCCCTGATGACTAAATACTTGAATATCAATGCTAAACGGTTATACCCCATCGCAGCATATACCAGGATTACTATTCCGAACACATGCTTTCCCACGAAACCCAGTCGACGATATCGTGGATCGGATCCGTCCAGCTCTTCTTCCTGTATGCCGGCGGCGTCGTTGGAGGACCACTGTTTGACCGCTACGGCGCCAAAGTAAGTGCATTTGCATACATGTAGTCTCCCGAATTTGGCCCATACCACTGACCACTGACCGGAATAGGTGATGCCGCTCCCGGCGCTCATCATGGTAGTCGCCGTCATGATGACCTCGCTGTGCACCCAGTACTATCAGTTCATGCTGGCCCAGGGCATCCTGGGAGGTCTGTCTTCAGGCATGCTCTTCGCGCCAGCCATGACCTGCGTCAGCCACTACTTCCACAAACGCCGCGCGACTGCGCTCGGCATCACCGTCACCGGATCCTCCCTCGGGGGCGTCGTGTTTCCCATCATGCTCAGCCGGACCATCAAGTCGCTCGGCTTCGCGTGGTCGGTGCGCGTCGTGGGATTTGTGATTCTGGCCATGATGGCAGTCGCCGTCCTCACAGTCAAGGAGCGGCTGCCCCCTCGCCGCGGGAGCATCCTCCTACCGTCGGCCTTTGCGCGGGTTCCGTATGCGCTCGTCGTCGCGGGCCTCTTTCTCATGACGCTCGGCCTTTTCACGCCCTTCTTCTACCTGCCGCAGTTTGCGCAGCGCCAAGGCATGAGCGAGAATCTGGCTTCGTACATGCTCTCCATCTTGAACGCGGCGTCTGTGTTTGGGAGATCGTTGCCGGGCGTCGTGGCGGACAGAATCGGCCGGTACAACACCTTGGTGGTGGAGGGAACATGCAGCGGCATTCTGCTGCTGTGCTGGCCTGCGGTGTCATCCAACGCCGGCGTCATCGTCTTTGCCGTCTTGTACGGCTTCTTCTCTGGGGGCATCATATCGTTAATGTCTCCGTGCTTTGCGCAAGTGACGCCGCAGCCCAACCAGATGGGGACGTATCTCGGAATGGCCATGGCCATGCTGGGTGTTGCCGCCTTGGCCGGAACGCCCATTACCGGGGCGTTGCTCGAATCAGGCGGCAACTTTACACACGCTGCTGTTTTCAGTGGTGTGGTCATGCTAGCTGGGACGGTCGTGTCGGCCGTTGCTCGCTGGTGGCAGAATACGGCATTGCTCGCAAAAGTATAGTCGCATGCGTTGCTCTCCAACCGCTTCTCAGGGCCCCGGGGGGCCAAGGATTTCCTTCAGTCGCCTTTGAAGGGTCAACCCGGCGCTATTTTTCAAGATTGGTAACGACACACGACTATATCCTCCAGATGGCTGGTCATCTGTCTTTAGCGGATCTAAGCTGGGCTGATTGCTCGCGTCGAAATAGATGCCCCGGTTCTGTGCCAACACTGCCAAATCAAGCTGAGCAGTGGCTCCAACATGTGTACCAAGGCATTTAGCAGATTTATGTCTCAGGATTTGGGAAGACGTTGGCGATGGGTCGTTGGGGTGCGGGCAAGTTTCATAAAACCGGGCGTTTTGGTGCTGGCGGGGATATAGAAATGTTGATTAGAACGTCGCTGGCGAATGACGGGATAGACAGTTCTTTGCGTGTAGTATTAAAGATAATAATACGTACTACTAGTTATATATGCTTATTATTAGTTATATATGCTTACTACTATTTATATATACTTACTACTAGTTATATATACTTACTACTAGTTATATATACTTACTAGTTATATATACCTTTATTCCTTGTAAATATAGTCAAATCAGTCACCAAATCATATTTCTTGCCAACATAGTCAAATCAGTCACCGAATCACCTCGAATGCAAGCGGACGCAGCAACAAGTCAACACAATGATAATCTATATTCAGCAACTAAATAGCAAAGCCAAAAGTCAGCAGCATGTCACTAACGAGACATGGCCAACTATTTAGCAGCGACAACTAGTCAAATTCACAGACAAGGCCCTCTAGAGAGATGCCCCCGAGTAAAATAAACCACCACACCACCACGATGGCTCAATAACCGTGCCTGTTCCCCGCCCCGACTTAGGCTTTGCCATTCTGCTGAATATTCTGGTCCAAGCAGTGCTCGAAATTGTGGCCCGGGGGATAACCCCAACCTTCACGGCGGACGGGCTGTGCCTTGTCGTCAATGGTGTTGGCCACGAAGCCCTCGCTCTGACTCTGCTTCAGCTCATCGAGGAACGCAGGCATGTCGTCCTGGGTAATCTCAATCTGGACGAGGTCGTTGGCGGGAACGTCGCTGAGCTTGTTGGCCGGCGGCAGGGCTCTCTTGGACTTGGCCTGGCCATTGGCCGGGCAGTTCTTCTCGAGGTCGACGGGATCGGGCAGCTCTGCACGGCGAGCCCACTCCTTGGCGGTATTCCCGTCCTCGGGAGAAATGTACCACTGGTTGCTGGGCATCCAGTACCAGCCGCCCTCGAGCTCGCACATGGTCTGGTCCTGGGGACCCTTGATCCACTTGATTGCCTTGGGGACCTTGGTCACCTTGACCTGTGCCGACAGGGGTTTGCTTTCCTTCTCGATGAGGTTTCCTCTGGCGCGGACGGGGCTTCCGCTCTTGTCGCGCAGCACGTACGTGAAGGTGCATTCGTCGTCGGCGAACTTGTGGGATGCGATGACTTCGGGCTTGGGCATCTTGATGCCCCGGTTATCAGGGCCATAGCCGGGAATCTGGGTGTTAAGACCTCCATCAAAGTCACCAAACGCATTGTCGCTGTAGGTGTAGAACTGGTCACCTGCCCTGACTGAGGGCGTGCACTTGCCGAAAAGCGCGAGACTGAACTTGGCCTTGGAGTGCTTACTGTTGGCGCACTGCGCGTCGTAGTAGGGCGTGGTGATGCATTTGCCCCTAAGGGTCCTGGTGTAGGTCCAGGTGACGTGTCTGCAGATGCTGTTCTTGGGGCATTTCCAGTTCTGTGTTTCCGTGATTGTGTATTCAATCTGCTGGGAGGCCTCGCCGTATTGGCCTCCTGTCGTGCGCTGGTTGCCGTAAAAGGTGGCCGCGAGAGAGAGGGAGAAGGCGGTGATTCCGGACTGTACGCCCGCCGTGACGGATTTGCCGGTTTCTGTCGACTCTTCCTTGTTCCATCCGATCCTCTGAATGTCAATAATGGCCTTTGATTCGGTGACTGATCCCGTTTCTTCTTCATCCTCGGTGATGGTGTCGGGAGCATCGACATGGGGGACGACATCGAAGAAGGATTGTGTTGCCTCTTTTATGAAAGAGTTGCGTATATACAAGCATTTGCGCTCGGATTCCACAAAGTGATCATAATCGTCCCTGAATTTGGCCCCCAAGGCGTCTTTCGAAGCCTCCATGGGGCCCTCTGAGTAAGGAAACTCCTTGCCCATGAACCTCTTGGTGCTCGTGAGATGACGCTGAACCTGGCTGGATTGCAGGATGACTCCAGCCAAGTCAAAGTCACCGGCTTGTCGGGGAACAACAGCGCCGTGCGCAGTTGCGGCAGACAAGGACAGTGCTGTCCAGAGCATCATGCTGATCATGGCGGATAGCAGTTGGTCGGCAAGGCGGATGTGCAAGTAACGAGAGTGTTGTAAAAGGAGTGTAGAGTTGTCCGTGTTGGATACTGATTGCTTTGGTGAGGCGACAAGCTTGGATATAAATACCAGTCCAAGCTACACAAGTCCTGCCCAAGCATGAGCAACCTCATGTTGCCGCATGGTCTGATGCCAAAAGCCATGATGCCTGTGAGAGCGCATCAACTTCCCATGGCGCAGTTGTCGGGTTCGTCACTTGCATGATTCGAATCAGGCGTCGTTGAGCTGCCCTGTACAACGACAAGGAGAGAGTGTAGAGGCGGAAGTCTTTGCGGGCTGGAGGGCATGAATGCCAAGAGGGAATGTCTTGGGGTATCGAGTCATGAAGCAATCAGAAACACGGCCGGAATTTTTGTGGCTGTGTCTCACCGCGCATCTCGAGCACCCTCCGACTTTTGCCCGAGAGAACCCCGGTGCCCCGTGCCTCTTTAGAGATTTGTTTATCTGCCCACTGGCTGGGGCCGCGCAATTGCCGGCATAAAGATTCAATGTTATATTGCATTGTGGATCAGACTCCAGGTGTCATGGATAATGCTCAAAGCTTCTCATCCTGGACTCGCAGATTGCCCAACGTTGCTTTTTCAACAAAAAATGATGGCATCAATGTCTTCCAAGTCGTCTCCGTATCCTTTGACTCGATGCGAAAAATGGTGTGACCTTATTGCCGGTCGTCCCTTTGAACTGCCGAGCATAATACGAGCCCCTGACTAGACACCCCAAGATTGCCATGGGTTGATATGGGACGGCATTTGCCAGTCATCTAATGGATAAGCCTTGATGTCCAATATTCACTAGTCGTCGAGTCTATTGAGCATCGTCATGTTGTTGCCCAAGCCGCAAAGTAGCATTCATGCGCATGTACGCATTCTCCGTCACCTAGCTCTTTCCCCGGAGTTGCACAGCCCAGTTTCCGGCAAGCATTGGAGTCATGGAGCAGCCATCATACCAAGGCCATGGACGCACAGGTAGCTGAAGCTGCCATATTCCATTGCCGGGCATTGGGAAAATGGCATGAGGCTGAGCCGCAAGTTCCCGTAACAATGCAGCTGAAGAATCCCAGCCGGAATCCGCAGCCGTTGTCGGACACGTTCCGGAATGAAGAAGAATCAACTTCCGTTATTATTGAGTATTTAGAGTCTCGTTTCCGCTGGTCCAATCTCGAAAAGCAAACTCTGGTCTTTAGGTAGCCAAGTTGCCACGCTACTTATAAAGTATTCAAAAACAGTTTACACAGGCTTCCGCCCTGAGACATTTGTAAGTCTCAGCGTAACCGTCCGGGGTCGCCTCCAAATATATATTAACTGCGTCTTTCTTTTAGCATTATCTTTTTCTTCTTCCGCAAAAAACAACCACAACAACAGAGAGTCTTGTATAAAACTCTGAAGCCATGGAGTTGCCCAAGATGACGGGTTTCCTGTGGTTCTACCTCACCATACTGTTGTCTTTTAGTCAAGTCTTGACAGCGCAGGGAGGAAAAAAATGGCAGCTAGGAGAAGAGCCGAAACTCGCAGAGGATGGTCTTCAAATCAAGCTTGACCGTGACCTGTACACGCACCAAGGTTCAATCGTCTACACCAGTCATCTCCAATTTGATGAGAAGCCAGAGATTTCGGATAGCCAACTATACCAGATTGCTAGGGATGCTTTCAATGAGATGCAGGCCAGCGTTGTTAGCAATGGCCTCACCCAAAAGATCCCAAATGTCATGACGACCCTGCTTGTTGGCAACGAACTCATCTTTGCGTCCTCAGCAAAGGGCCCAAATGACCCTTATGATCGAGACTCCCAGGTCCAAGGAGACCTGAAGGTGTGCGCCGACGCGAATGAAGGCAGGCTCCACAAGAATGGAGGAAGGTGTGGTGAGGTCATGGCCTTTCACGACTGGTACGAGTCCCATGTCCGTTCCGGACCGTTGGAACCAACCGAAGGCACAAAGGTTGTCGCAATTTCCTTCCAGAAGAATGCCGATGGCGAGAGGGAACCTCTTATCCTGGCCCCCTGTGGCAACGACGTATGTACATGTCTACATGTTTCCAAAAATCAACCACCTCAGCAAAGTACTAACTGAACGTCTAGAAACAATGGGGCTGCAACAAGTTTGTCAACGGCATCTACGTACTGGATGATGCCAAGGTTGCCGCGGATCCTAAAAAGGAACCATTTGAATACAAGAGCTTGATCAAAGACAAGAAGCTCAAGCCGGCGCCCACACGGCCGGGCTTGCCACCTCCCAACCCTTTGCCCAAGCCTCCAAGGCCGAATACCAGACCGGGTGGAAGCAACGGTGGACCGCCTCCCAACCCTTTGTCCAAGCCCCCAACCAAGCCGAATACCAAGCCGGGTGGAAGCAACGGTGGACCGCCTTTCAACCCTTTGTCGCCTCCGGGTGGCAAGCCGAATACCAACCCGGGTGGAAGCAGCGGTGGACCGCCTTTCAACCCTTTGTCGCCTCCGGGTGGCAAGCCGGGTACCAACCCTGGTGGAAGTACAGACAACCAAGGTGGCGATGGCAAGCCTGCCAAGCCCAAGCCGACTCGCAGGCCCAATGGGAGACCAAAGAGGCCTTGAAGAAGCGAGCAACGCTGCCGCTTCCAAGCGCAAAACTGCCCGCCACGGTCAGCTTGTGTCCGGCGCGCGTACCTGGTATAGATGGACTTGGGTCTTGGTTTCTCTATTCAAGGAATTCGCATGTTGGTCTAGAATACTCGCTATATTTGCGCTTTGAATTATGATAGGTCATTTCTGTAGTTTGCCCTGGCAATACAATCTCTTTGTTGTGAGGCACTGCAATTATTTACATACTACAAGTGACTGAAGGAATTCCAGAAAGGTTCTAGCGTGTAATTGCCAACGGCGGATTGGCCAGCCCGGCCCAATTCGTGGTCAGAGGTCGCGTGCGCATGTGGAGTCAAGTCCTCCTTGCTAATTCCGGGTATATCCGCCTGCACAAGTGGCTCGTCCACGTTTATGTCAACGACCAGACTCCTAGTCGCTGACGGGTACGTGCCTAGCCCACTTACCTTGACCTGGGGTAATTTGTGAAACAATCAAAATCAACTCTAATGAACCCTGTCTGACTGCCCAGTTCCTTTTGGGCGTTCGGCATAGCCCCAGCCGGCAGTTGTTTGCATAAAAGCTGGGACAGACTAGGCCCCGAAAGGGTTAGCCTTGGCAACTCGTGTCATGCAATCAATGCGGGTCATCTGCTTGAACCAGGGACAATATCCGTGAACCTATATAGACTTGACCACCTCCACCTCCTCGACGGCCCTTGAATCCAACTCGCCGTGCGCACTTCCTTATCCCCCACGAAAAGGTAAGCCATCGCCCGCTGCCCGGGGACCTTGTCTCTCGCGACGCAGAGCCCGACCGAGTCAGGCACCGCCAGCAGTCAAAAAGATGGCCGTCCCGCCGCTCAAGCGTTGGCCGAGTGAGCTGATATTGTCTCTCTTGGAATTGCTATCCTTGAACGACTTGCTCTCCATGAGTCGCGTCAACAAATCCATCCGCGCCCTAGCCCTGCCTCTGGTCTACTCGACGGTTGAGGTAAGCTGGACTTGGCAACGCACGCCGCCTGTTATCCTCCTACTCCAAAGCCTTCTCGAGCGACGCGAGCTGTCTGGCTACATCCGTAACCTACGCCTGGTGGGAAATGGGTTCAAAGACAGGCCCGAACTCAGGGAGCCGCCTGTATTCCCCCTCGACGCTCATCTGCTCAGCAAGGCAACCGAGGTCATCGAATCAACCAGAGTACCATTCACCAAGCTTTGGATAGACGAGTTACACTCTGGCAGCGTCGACGCCATCGTGGCACTGCTTCTCGCCATGGTGCCTAATTTAACGTCCCTTCGCCTTGGGCCCAACTTTACTGTTCGAAGCCGACTTTGGGGAGGGATATTTCAATGCGCTCTTTGCGGGCCGCCAAACACGTACAACTTGCCTACATATGAAGACCTACGCAGTGTCAAGTCCGAGTTTAGGACCAAAGAATGGCACCACGTCGACGTGTGTAACGCGGCCGATGTTCTTGCCCTGTTTTATCTCCCGAGAATCCAGAACCTATCCGTATCTATTGACAGCCCGGTTGAATTCGCCTGGCCCTGTTCGCATCCGCCAGCCCCCTCGTCCATCATGTCACTAGATATTTACCGGCTGCGCGAATCACGCATTGGCCCCGTGCTCTCGGTTCTAAAGGGTCTCCAGAGGCTGCATTGGCACTGGTCTTATCAGCCAGATCTTGACGAGGAGGTTAGCAACGGCGTGCTTGACCTCGACACGGCAGCTATAGCATTGAACGAAGTTGCCGATACGCTCACCGACTTGACTATTGGTGCAATCACACGTCCCAGGATATCCGTCGGTGATTACGACCCTCCTCTGCTGGAATTCCAGGGATCCCTGGATGGAATGTCCCGTCTGGGTAAACTTAAGAAATTACGTCTTCCGTGGGTCTTCTTGATGGGGTTTTCGGAATCACCGGCTTCAAAACTCTTGAGTGCGCTTTCTTTGGGCCTTGAGCAGCTTGAGCTAACGACAGACTTGAATGACCATGAGGAATGGGAGTGGCATGACGATGACTCTATTATACACGCGATAAAACTAGAGCTGGCTAGTCCCTCCTTATCGCGTTACACGTGTTTGCGTCGCATTGTTCTGCCTATTCCTTCAGAGTATAACGAAATGACTAATGAGCGACGAGAGGAACTATCAACGATTGGTGCAAGGGCGGGACTCGAGTTGGGGTGGATGGAGTAGTTGGAAGATTGGGAGGAATAGCTTGACGGATATTCCGCCTCTCAAGTTTCGCTTCTCCGGCAGATAATCTGCACCAAGGGACTGGGTTCAGGCCATGTCACCCGGTTACTGCTACCCTATGATGATAAATGTTCTCGGAATCGCTTCCTATATAGACTTTATTTCACGCGGCCTCGGCCGCTACCCGTACCCAGCTGCCGGGTGAAGGGCTCTAAGGGTTCTATTACTGACGGTCTAACGCATGAATTGAATCTGGGAATTTAAATAAAAGGGCTGAAACATGTATTCAGATATCTGACAGGCGCACTCATCTTGAAGGCGGGGCGAGCCTGTTCATGCCGCATCTAGTCGCACGAGAACTTGGTGGCTACAGAGTCTACCGGAGTTCGTGTAACTGGTACAGAAACCGTCTTTGCAATCTGCAGGGTTCTTTTCATTTAGGCAACGGAAAGAATAGAATACTATATCCGTAATGCTGTGTTTCCCATATGACAATGATTTGTCCTCGGTATCGCAATTCCCATCTTTGATTCCTCTCAGCTTTAGGGTATCAAAATTAAGACTGAGCATGTCAACGAACTTGTAAAGGGTTCTGGCCTTGTCCAATCCAACCTCGATCTCCTCGAAAACCGGGCTGGAATTTTAGCATTAGTCTGATTTTCTGCATCTTACTGGCCCTTCAAGTTGACACATGGACCTCTTTCAACACCAAATTTATAGCTGTCGTCGTCGTAAAGAACAGCCTTAAACAAAGGCCGTTAATCGATGAGCTAATAGTCTTTCTGTGTGTAGCCATGCTTACCGCGAAGAGGTTGATCTGTTGCGCCGACTCTAAAGTCATGAGGACGAAAGGAATAACGCTTGAAAAACGCATGTTTGTCAACGGTTGAAATACAAGGTACGTACAACCAAGAGGTATACAAGGTTCAACTATAACAGGCACTATTGGAATTCCACTTTGCTCGCTGGGGTCAAATCGTGATATTCAATAATGTACCGTACCTCGCCGGAGTGTTGAGGAAACAAAGCCAAGCTTTAGCAAGATTCCGCAGCCCCTCCCTTTAAATATGCAATGCAGTATCACCTAGACAAAGCTAGTTCCGGGACCACGTAACGTATGACGTACATTCAAGACAAAATAATGTCCAGTATCGTCCCAAAGCAAGCTGAGGAGTGCGTGTGCTACTCCGTTATGCGACGTCGAGAGGACAAGCCGTTATATGTGACTAATGCGCGGCATACAACGAACAATGTAGGATTGTGATACTAGGGAGAAAACGGCAACATTGTGGTAAACTATCATGGACATACAAGCTAAACATGTCGTAGTATATAGGCTAGCATGATAGTATAAGCGTAACATGGGTTGTATCGTACAATTTCACGCATTCCATGAAAACAATGGAACATGGGACGCCTCAGTGTCGGGTCCTTCTACAAAGGAACCAAAATTGAAATCATGTAGAAGAAAGTCCATATCATCGGGTATCTGTGTCTATTGTCAGTGGCAGAATCAACGCGAATCAGGGGTGCTGAAAGTATATTACAAGAGTGTGAAAGAAATCCGCGTCGTGGTCACGAGCTGCAGTAGAGTTTGGCTCACTGGCCTGGTTGCTGTGGGCTGTTAATATCCCGCCACTTATTTCGGGGCTACGTAGATAGGACATGTTGACTCACATCGGAGTAGTTGGACATCTGTGAAGGGCGTCATGAACGACTCTGCTCACACGTACCACTTTCTCGCCAACATCTTTGGCCCAGGTAGCTGAGGATGTTGGAATATACAGCGACTTGACTAGCCCGATGATCATGGACAAAACGTAGTAATCGCTTACGCCTTCTAGTGTTGACGTGACTCGCCTCTCCACGATTCGCCAGGCGTGTTCCACCAGTGATATAAATGGCTCGACGAGTTCTGGCATGGATGAAATAATACTCGATGCTGATGGGGTTTTAGTATTCAAACACAAAATCGGCCGCAGTCTACTTACATGAGTCATTAAAGCCAAGGTATAGCTCATGGCAAAGGTTCATTGCAGCGAAGAGGAGTCCCACTCGACAAGCTGTTTCTGTAACGAGCCGTTGTTGGTTAAGCGAGCGATACTGACTTAGAATCATGACGGCAGTGTCGAGCCTTGCTCGGCGGCACACTGCCGAGGTGGCGGTTGGCGGCGTTTGAATGGCGGCAGGAACATGCACCAGCAGAAGATATTGGTTCAAGATGATGCTCAGTAATATCTCCAAATGCACCATCACTGAGTGTTTCGGAGTACCTACATGCGACTTACTCCACCCTGGTACTTTTTGCAAAGACTGAGTTAATGAATCCGCAAAGGCTAGGATTCGATCCATCTCGGCATTATTCTGGCAGCCGTTTACCATGGCGCAGATCTCAGATCGAGTAGCATATGATTGTCGTAGAAGTACCTGGAACGAAGAGCTCGTCCACGAGCAAAGCGGCTGAGACGTCACTTCTTGGGTGCTTGACGGAGTCAACACTTCCTCATTTTCGTTTGCTGGTGCCCGCGTATTAAACTCGTCCTGTCGGATGCTAGGAGGCATTCCGCGCTCCATGGCGGCCAGCAAATCAAGCTCTGTTATTGTCGCCCACAGTCTTCGCCGCATCTCGCGATGAAATGGTGAGATTGGAGCCTCTGGCCCAACTTCCCGGTGATACCCTGCTGCCATTGCCCACCGTATCAATGTCCCCGTTGACGCCCAGAGCCCTGTCTCGTGGATATAGTTTGCCCTCTTGGCAATCAGCAGCAGACATTGAGTTTGTAACGAGGGCAAACTTTCCACAGAGGTAGTGTGCTGGGAATTTAGCCAGATTTCGGCGGCTTGAATCCATTTTTTTGCCATTTCAATGGGTTCTGGACTCGCGACCAGCGTGGCAGCCTCATGTCGCGTAGCCGATGCGATGGCCATTATGAGACATAGCTGAACTAGAAAATTTTCTGATGTTTCTTCAGAAGTCTCCCAGTAGCGGTTGTACTGACGGTAAAAAGATGGGATGTGAAGAACACGGTGGGTGACTTCGACATAGTCAAGATAGGCTTGTACCAAGACGTCCACCACTTCTTGTTGAGGAACCAGATTCACCAGGCTCTGTGTATCAACCTGCGACTGGTTACTGTGACCGTTCGCCGGCTTTCTACTGAGTTTGACGAAGATGTCATCGCGCAGCTGGTTGATGAGAGGATACTGGGCTTTCACTTGAGAAATGTATCGCGGCAGATGGGCAAACTGAACGGATTAGCCACGGACAGTAAATGGGATCATCAGATGCCTATACCCGCTGGTAGAGATTCAAGTGGTAGCTGAAGCCATAGAATCTAGTTGATGTTGCTCGACCTTTGAAGTGTATCATGCCTCTGGACGAGATTGTCTGTGGAGGACCGCTTGTCTCTTGCGCGAATGCCTGCGCCGACTGGTCTCGCCCATCTGGCTGCGGACCTTCAACATGCCTCGGCAATGCTACTGGAATAGCATCTCCAGGCTGCGGTAAAGACGATTGCGGTAAATTTGCAGGAGAGCTGTTCCTGTAATGGCACTCATGCTCGTGACCACTCTGGACGCAGCGGCGACACACGGGAACTTCTCGCCCGCATTTCACCTTTCGGCGGTAGCATGGAATGCAAGCGACTGGCGGACGCCGCTTCTTCAAGTCCGGCCGGGGAACCCGTTGGCGAGATGAACCCTGACTTCGGCCCATGTTGCCGCTGGTGGTGCTGGCAAGAGTCGTACTGCTTGCAATGGGCCGAGATGTTGAAGCAAGAAAAAAACTGGAGATCTCGGCATTTTCGGCATTTTCACGCCCCCTGTTCACTTCCACGTTCTTGAAGGTGGCGGACCATATTGAGCTCCCAGAAACATCATGCCGCTTTGCTTTGCTTCTGCCGTACTTGCTATCGCATCAGGATGGTTCACGACATCAAGTCTATTCAAGTACATTAGACATCACAGACCGAAGCAATGCACACACTTGCCTCCACCACTGCAGGGCATGGGGTTGGGTAGCCCAACGGTTCCTGGCCGCAACATCGCATGGCAGGGGTCTTGTGCTGTCCGGTGAATGAGGTTGGGATGCAACGAATTATTCTTCTCGGTGGCCATGACTGGTGTTGGAGTTGAAGTTGGTAATTGAGATGAAGATGAGGGAAGGCAAATGAGGGGCCATTATCGGCATCCGCCAATCAGAGCTAAGAAAATGTCAAGTCTGGGTGCGAATAATTTATTCGCACGCGAGGCGAAAGCTGTTCGTCATCTTTATTCTCCTTGTAGAAGCATCGGAATTGACCTGGAGCACGCTGTCGATGCGAAGGGCAAGACAGGTCTGGAAAGTCTTGTGTGATGATCCGCAGCCAGCCACAGCTAAGAAAACCTCCCACAAAATGCGATTCCTACAGCACATTATGACGAGATCCATCTACGATCTACGCAAACACCGCCTTGCGACTCCACAGGGCTGAAGGGGTGATTCAATGTTAGGCTGACTGGCAAGTTGACGCTGACATCGAGGCGCCCTAATAGCTAACCCAGTCAGCAGATGAGTCTGTTCGTCTTGCGTCAGACGGCGCATTTAAACTCCGCCACAAATCGTCACCGTTGTCATACGCCGGCCTCGAGAGACGCGCTTCCTAGACGTTGATAATCTGTTTGCTGGCAACACGTACATAGTCACACGCATCTCAATTGCTAGACAAACGTCTGCTCAGTTTCGTCCCGCCGCAACTCTAATGCCAGGTGCTAAGCAGTGCTGGGAATGTCGCAAAAGGCGGCTTGTTTGTGACTTTGAACGCCCAGCATGCATCAAGTGCCGGGACAGAGGAGTCCAATGTCCCGGATATGACCACAAGCCTCTACGATGGGTTGCGCCCGGGGAGACCAGATCCAAGAAGCGAAAGGCCCAACAGCGCTCCGTTGGTCAGTCAGCTGTAACCCGAGTATCACGGGTCCATTTCAAGGATGCAGGTGCCACACATCTGATACAAGCAATAGACTACTGTAGGTTATTTTTGCTCTCGACGCGACGTGCTCCGTGTGATTGCCGACTCGAACGAGCTTCCTTGATTCTTTGCATGCTTGGACGGTTGGAGGGCTTATGCTAACTTCACCATTGCGCAGATAACCGCGTCATAAGTCCAGATTTGCTCGCGACGAACCGACGCGCATCTGATAACCCATTCTTCGTGCCGCCAGCCGCAGCAGCATATATTCTTCCTGCCATTGCGGAAATTGTTGTCTCTACCGCACTGGGACATCGCATTTTACAGAGCCGTCAATGTTCGACATCTGACCGAGTAGCGTTGGCTACCAAGCTGCAACACCACCGAGGGTTAGCCATTCGGCTGATGGCCGACGTCTTGGCCACGGACGGCATGCGGACAAGTGACGAGATGCTTGCTTGTGTCTTGGTGTTTTTGTTTGCCGAGGTGAGCACTACTCTGAGAAGCTTTGTCGAAGCATCAAGTGACCGATTGGTCCTATTTCCAGATACAACAATCCATTTCATCCTGTTGGCGACAACATGTGGATGCAGCTTGGACGATAATCAACTCACGCGGCGGGCTGGGTGACCTCATACATAGCCACGCGCAGTTTCGCCATTTGTTTCGCTATTTTACCATGTGAGTCTCCCGTTTGACATTATCTGGTGCGCGTTATCCCTGCTTGCTGACTTTCGGACGCTTGGCGCATTGCAGCATCGACGTATTCGGTGCGACTACCTCGCCGCCGCTCGATGTTGGCCGAGCACACCGGCAGCTGGACGTCTTGCCGGTGCTACCTACGCTATATCGCGATGGGCTTCAGACGTGCGTGCCATGTCCTCCAGAGCTTTTGGGGCATGTCATCCTCGTCAACCACTTTAGGGCACAGTTATGTGGCCCTGCCGCCGAGCAGAAGAAGAATCATCTGTTTGCGGCCGCTGGAGAAACGTTGCAAAAAATTTGCGACTTTTCTGTGCACCAATGGGTCGATGACACCGTTCTCCCCAGTTTGTTGATGGATGATGCCGAAAAGGCTCGGGAGCATGCAAGCCTGGCTTCTAGCCAGACCAAGGCTCGGCGATGGATCTGGCTTGCCCTAACATCGGCGTTCAAATCAGCCATAGCACTATACTGTATTTCAACAGTGTTCGACGGTCGCACATATGAATCTGGGGACAATGACACGGCATGCAATGACCTCGCCTCCTGCTCTGATGTCCGTATGTTCCACGTGGAAACGCTTCGAACAAACTTGCAAACCGTGGCCTCCGACGAGAGAGGGCAGCTTCGCAAGTTCACCATCTGGCTATTAGTCGTTCTGGGGGTGGTGACGGACCCGAGTGACGAGACATGCAAGAGATTCATAACAGGCGAGCTGAAATGGATCAGTGGACATGTGGGCATTTCTTCACCCTTGATTGCCATTGGAGTGTTGGAAAAGATCTGGCAAACATCTTGCACCCGGGCAGACAAGAAAGGCGTAGGGTGGGACGGCCTTTTTGAGAAACCGTACATTTTCGCTTTGTAGCAAAACTAGTCCGGTTTGAATGAGATGCGTGTCTCCCAGAAACCTATTTAATTGTATCTTAAACTCAAAATATTTTTTGCCATACCCAAATCCAGACATTCCGCAGCACTCGCCTTCTATTACATGGCCCGGTGAAACTGGCGTTGCCAACACCTCTGTGGCGGTGTCACGAAACTAGCATTTATCGGTATTATTAAGTCTTGGCCAGTTTTCTTTCCCATTTAGGAAGTATATGTTCATGGCTGTAAAGTCGATAATCCGGGACCGTGGTGCTTCATGTAAGTTATTCAAGATACTTCCGCTTACGGTAAAAAGGATTCATCGCGGTCTGCATTGATGTTTCCTACGATCCATGAATTGCCGGAGCTGAGCATCGTTTACTTTCTCTATTTATTATACAAAGACGTTCCAAAGCTCAGTTAAGATGGGGTGATGGCCTTGACAGAATTGTCAATCACAAAGACGTTTCCCACATAAATGCATATAGGCGTCGCAAAGTGCGCAACCCGACAGCTTAATTTTGGAGGATAGTCTCCCTTTTCCAAGCTACTCCAGAGTCAGAGTTTCGAGTCGTCATACTAGCCGACACCAACCGCGATGGTCTTGTTGACGACTTGGACAGCAACCACAAGCACATGTGGACATCTAACCGCGGCGCAATCTTTCTTCCCGATATCAGTGACGAGTATCTCCGCTGCGCAATACAAGATGCCAGAGGGACTTCACTCAGCAATTTGGAGCTTGCGACCTGCAACGGTGCGGCAGGCGATGTTCCCATCGCTCCGCGGTATGCGGCGCCCCCTCGACGCTGCAAACGCAAAATGGTGTGTCAAAGTGGCAAGCTCCATTTGTAAAGACAATCCAAAGCATCCTGGACAAACTGCCGTCACAAATACCCTTGCTTGTCCTCAACAACAGCAGCGAGGTTTACGCGCAGGACTTGATGGATCCTGCATACGCAAGCATGCCAGGGCGACACGGCCCAATTTCCCTATGAATACTACTCCTTCGCACCACACAGTCCACCCGGCCAAGTGGTAGAAGAGTCGGGTGTGTGAACATCTCCGCGGGCCAGGCGTCGGGGTCGGCAGCCGGAACTCGGGTCGGGTTTCGGCTGGGAAGAGATCAACTCTGGCGGCAACATTGAGACGATCCCTGCCTACGTCTCCCGATCCGGCACTGCTTACCGAAACAGACGGGTACTTCTTGGCAAATACTTGACAAGTACCCTGCGAGATGCTTGGTGGATTTTGTCAAGGCACAAGTTGAACAGGGCCCCGTTGTTCCTGGAAGCTGGCTGACTCGTCGTCGGTCACATCGACGAGATGGTCCAGTTTTTGCCTCGCAACACGCTGGGGTTCAGAATGGCCATTCCGGACACAACCCCTGCCTTGGAGCTCTTCAGAAAGCTCAACGACACTGGTCAAGGGGAGCATCCATTCTCAGCTTCGAGGGCGATGGCGCCCGACAAGGACGCCAGCTTTGTCGACTCTAGCTTTCATGATAGAACTGTTGCATCGTTGTTGTCCGACGAAAGGTTTATTCAGGCGAACACTTGCGCTCAGAATTTTCTAGACACAGATTTGGCTCTTCTCCTGCAGGAATTACCCATTGAGGAAAAGGACGTCGTTGGCGTCCCAACGCTGTAGAAGGACGCGACGTATCCGTGGCCACGGAGCCCTGGCGATGTTCCCACGCGGCTTCACCGCGGCTTCTTGGCCAGAGACAGCTGCAGTCATTCTATCCATTAGTTGTAAATGGGCTTGTGCTCCAGCCAGACTATATTGCGCTGAAGCCGTGGGCTCCGCTCGTTCACGGGAGAGATGTTCTTGAAGCGGCCGTACGCGACGCATACCAGGCTGCGGTCCGTGAATGTGCGCTTTGTCAATGACTACAAGTCACACCATGTTCGAGGTGGCGAGGTTCACCGGGGGACGAATACGCTGAGGGAGACAAGTATTTCGTGGTGGATGCTATAGTGGCCCGGCATATTGCACGGTATAAACTGTTTGGCTTGGCGAATCATTCACTTAGACGATGTATTGGTTTTAGGGTGTAAAAGCGACATGGGTGTCCAGCTTTGGGAAGACCATTTTGCACCCGTGGGTGAATAAGCGGCCAGGCTCCTATATTCCGAAATACATTATTGCATCATGTTGACTGCCCAGAATAGTCTAGTTGTTAATTTGGTTCCATCGAGGCACCTGCTAAGAAGCTAGACTTGTCAGATTGCATTATCTTGTAGCTGTATCTTATAATAAGACTTTGATTGCTTTCCCAAGTAGATACCCAGCAGGGATCCTATTACCCGGCAGCAACTAAGTGGACGATTAAGTGGCCAGTCCACTTAGTTGCCAATAGGTGCCTCAAATAAGCCGAAGTAAGCCCTGTTGGCTTGATTTTCTGCCCTGAACAAACCAGCAGGTAGCAACGCCGGAAGGTCGGTTCGATGATTCCGAAAGATCTTCATTGAGTTGGCTTGGTAGTAGACAATTACTAGCGGTTGGCAGAGACAACTATGGGAGTAATCCGATTGGCGTTACCGGAGTTGCCCTAGTTGTCCCGAATAAAGCGGTGAAGGCGCATTCCGGGCACGAGGTTGGATCAACAGTGTGTAGTTTTCGAATCTGCTATCCCAGTTGTTGTATTTCCTTTGTCGCAAGTCATGCAACCATCACGAAGGCAAAGAAAGCTAAATGTGACCTACCATGAGTGGTGTATGCAACAACCTCAGTTTTCAATGTCAACACTAACTTGGTTCCGAATATACATGGCCGTAATGTGACCTATCCGAAACCTATCGCTTGAAATTCTAGATGGACGCAAGTCAAGACAGCCACATCAATTGCCGAATCTTCCCGTAAAGAACACTAAAGGATGGAAACGGTTTTCGAGGAGCCTCAGGGTCAACTCTGTTTGTTGCAGAGCCGCAAGTACGTGGCCAAAAGAGTGGGAAAATATGGTCCCATGTTGGATTACTCCGAGGCCGAGGCGGCATGACAACCAGGCCGTCAGCCATGACAGCGCCGTGCGTAGGGAGTAAGCGGATGCCTATGAGAGAATCAGCATCTCTGCCTGGGAAGTCCCATAGATTTGTGGCACACGCTGCCAATAAGCCATGGCTCGCCTGGAAAAGTGATTGATCAGACGGACGTGGCCGGCATCTCCTTACAACAGAATACCATATAACCGGCCAGGTTGGCAGCTCCTGGAGGTCATACCACCACATCCACGGGCCACACGTTTGAGACACTGCACGGCAAGAACGGGAAGCAAAGCCACCCAACATATTGTCGAATGGCTGACAATGCACCATGGGGAGCCATCAATGTGCGTCAGCACGTGGCACACGGGAAACAATGCTCGACGGAACGTCTAACTTGGGCGGGGTGGTAAAGTAGGGAATGCTGCATATATGAGGCTTATTCCTGCTTGTTTGGCTCTCGTGATGAACAAAGTGGCCGGAGCAATAGATTCTATCAGGACTCGCACGTCACATTTTCTGAGGACTGTATTCGTGATGAAGGACGGGAAAGATTTTGTTCCCGACGTTGCGATCCCGACATGTTTTCATTATTGTGAGAGGCTTTGAGATCGACAGGTATTCAGGTATTGTTACAGCTCAATTTGGCGGCTTACAGGACACGATGCATATGGACCTTGGTGAGCAGGAGCCCTGGCACAGAGGGACCAGGATGGGCAAGGTAAATCCACCCAGCTCAAGAACTTGCCAAACACTTTTGACATGGTTACGCTGGTTCTATGCTGAGTAAAATGTTATTCAGAGCGACAGTCATCCTCCTGCCCGGATGGACGATTATGACTACTCATTCGAAGTTGCTTCGAGAGACTGGGCATATGTATCTACTGCCCAAATCTTGGTAAGCCTGCCATATACCAGCCAAGGTAAGACTGCCATTTCATTTGGCCACCGGCGGCCGCATGATTGTCTATTTGTACCTTCCAATATTCATTGCCTACAGAACAACTCCCCCCAGATTCACATGGCAATCCGATACCCAGTGATGCAACTTGGACAAGAATCGACCGTCGATTTATAAGCGTCGAGATGCTCCAAAAGGCCGGTGTGCGATATGAAGCGCGAGAGGATTTTGTCGCCATCCTCGGCGCCGTCACAAGCGCACAAGTCGTCGAGCTCGTGCAACATAGCACCGCGATACGACAGCAGCGCCGGCCGAGACACGGTACACATGTCGCGGCGCCTTATCGGGCGAAATCCCACGAGTCTCAATTCGCGCAGACCAATACGCCAAGAGCCGGAAGGTCTGCGCTTCTCACTGCCGAGTCCGACTCAGACGAAGACGTGAACAGAAGCAGTGGGCCCAAGAGCAGGAACAGGGAAAGATTACAACGCCGAACTGTGCGTGGCGGCAAGCAGAGAGACCAGCTACAGGGCGAAACGACATATTCTGTTTCGCGACTACAAGCCTCGGGGCAGAGTACCTCGAAGATGTTGCCTCGGCAGAGTCTGAAAAGTACAAAGGGTGACCTGGCTGTCAAGACTCTGAGCATCGCTGGATCAGTCGCGAGCGTGATTAGTTTGGCGAAAGACTTTTTGAAGGAGTAATGGACATGTTGTAATTTGCACGCGAAAGCAACATGACTAGAGTCAGATATTGAGCTAGGTCAAGGTGCATTTCGTGGCAATGACGTTGCTTTCATGGTCTGAGTTATCATCGTTCATGAGAATCATCCAACTTACAGTGTCTACCTTGAGAACATACCCCACATCAATCAATGGTGTTAATTTTTATTCAACAGTCTTTGGCTTTGAATGCTTTTGAAAGTCCTAAAGGATGGGCGTCCAAGACAAGATGACAGCCTCAAGTCAACGGGCGCCTTCAAGGTAGTGACATGAAAAACGTGTGATGTAAATGGAGTTATGGAAGACTTGATCGACTTAATCTAACTTCATTGGTTGAGAGAGAATAATTTCTATGGCAAAAGATGAGAACCATGGCGATACTGTGACATATCAGCACCAGTAGCCCCGTTCACGCGGCATCTACACTGAGTTGATATCGTTATCCATTTCCTCCGATTCGGCCTTCGCGTCCTCAACACACCATAGTCGCCAAAAACCACTTTTACACGGCTCCCGCTGCGTGTCGCAGCAGCTGGAGCCCTTCCCTAGCCATTGCTCACATTGTACTCTGTCGTTGCTCTTAAACTTGCCAATGTAGGTCATGTCAAAGGAAGTATCCCCCTCTGAGAAGGCATCGACCGCTCCCACCCGGTGATGATCGACTCCACAAGCCGAAGGCCTGCCAAACCATCCACACTTCCTCCCCTTGTCATGACAAACTTCGCGGCTCTGAGACACGTGCCACTGCCGCCTATCAGCTCTATCCATCTCGTCAAAACTAGGCACAGGGGCGCCTGTCTTGGCGTAGTATCCCTTGTCTTGGGTATAAAACTTGTCCTCTCCTATCCTGTCCGGGCAGTACCATTCGGCCGAGTCGAGATCATAGCACCTGTTCTTGACCGACTTGATCACAGGGTGCGGGTGTTCGTACTTGACGACTTGGTCATCCAGAGTAGGATAGGCTTCGTAATAATGCCAACGCTTGCTAGCATCCATGTATTTGGCAATTTGTTGATCAGGGTCGTATTCAGTATACCCCTGCTCTCCAGCTTTGAGTAGGTACCTTCCGGCCTTGTACCCTATAATTTGAGGCTTTTCCCACAGCGGCAGAATAGGAAGCCTAAATGCCAACTCGAGATGGAACGGCGTCTTGCCATCCGAGTCCAGAAGCGGCGTCTCAACCGTACAATCAATCTTCTCTTTGACCCTTTCGCAGGATTCGTCTTTCCAATGTGCCCATTGAGCGCACTCGAATGGCCCTTCGTCAAAGATGGTCGTGGGGCACTTTTCCGTTGACCAGAGCTTGTCTCCGTTCTCATTCCGCATGATTTCCTCACTTTTGCAAGCGCCTCTGAGTATGAGTTTCACAGTCCAAGCTTCCGTCCAGCAAGAGTACTTGGCTTCGCATGGGGAAACTGTGCCTTCTGAAATGGTCTTTTCTGTAGTCTTGGTGTTTGAGCGGGAATAGCCGCCGGTGATGGTGATGCCGGCCATGTTGCCAGTGTATGGACTCCAAAATCCCGCGTTGATCTGGCCTCCAATGTTCCAGCCCCAGGTAGTGCTGTCGATGTTGATGGTACTCTTTTGTGTGTTGAGCTGCATTGTGCCGCTTCTTTGGTCGTTGTCTACTCGGCGGATCACTTCAGTGTTGATGGCGAGGTCGTAATCTACCTTGCTTATGTCCTCAAACACGGTTACGTTGACAAAGTCCGTATGAAGGAGATTCCAAAAGTTCCAATGCGGCTCACATGTTGCCTCTTTGAAGTCGGATTCGTATCGGGCATTGGATAAGATGAGGTTGAGTCCCGGCTTTAGTTTGCTGAGAAGATCTATCTTGCGCTCTTCGCTCTGGTCCGGCCTTAGATAGGGACTTGATGATTGTTGGCAGCAAGCTCCTGCCGCAAAAAGGCCGACTGCCAGAGCAGTCAGTTTCATATTCGTAAATTGCGGTCAGCAAATAAGCTGCTGGCTACAAGATGGTTGTCGTGTGAGGAGCTGAGCAACAAAGCGGCCAATGGCACAATACTTGATAATGTCGTATGGCGGTTTGTCGAGAGAGCGCCGTGCATACTATATAGCAGGTCAAAATCAGCAGCAAAGGCTATAGCTGGAGGGTTGAGTTTGCATGTAACCTGCTCATGTGTGTGTAATCATTCTCATCTACCGATACCTATGACGTAGAAGTATACTACTTTCATTATATGATACATGACTCAGGTCTCGACAAGCTCTAATTAATACATATATCACTCAGCAAGGATAGTGGCGTTACTAATGGAGACGTACGGCGGCTTGCAGGGGGGTCAATGGATTTAGAAGCTTGTCAATAGCGTCGCATAACTATTAGTCCCCGCCGAAGTAACCAAACTGGCCTGATGATGCTTAATTTTTAATACAATAGTGGACATCAGAGGCTTTTCTTTTGTTATGCGACATTTCCCAGGGTTCTGTTACAAGCCTAGTACATTAATACCAATAACTTTAATATAAGTAGCATTAATAGCATGAAGTAATCCCACATATTGCTAGTTTTTGACCATGCGGGAATGTTATCGCCTGTGATATAGACTAATGAGTTGTATCTGGAAGTCATTGAGACGGACTATCCAAGTATTTAAGTTGCTCTCCCCGTGAATCATCTGGTGTAGTCACCCATCGATGATTTTCTTGATTCTTGTCCGTAGTGACCAAGAGCTCCTCAACAGTTAATTTATACACAGTACTTGCGCCACAACACAACTTTTCGGTATGCGTGCCCTTTTGGCCGTATCGCTTTACCTCTGCCTAAGGGGCAGCGCGGCCCCTGTTTCTCTTCTTGAGAGGACCGTTCCATTCGGACACGAGGGGCCGCCCTACGAGGTAGGGGGAGCAGGAGCCCATCTGCCTCTGGAGGTCAACGTACCATTCGAAATAGACTTGCTCCCCGATGGAGAAAGACTGCCGTTAGAGAACCCTGAGACGACCTTGCCCGAGGGGCTGCCACCGGCTGAAGGCGAACTGTCAAATGAGATAACAGGGGAACATACTCCTGACATGCCTGTACCTGAGGGACTGCCACCGGCTGAAGGAAATGGACCGCAACTACCGGGAGTAGAGAATCCTGAGACGTCTGCATCCGGAGGAGCCGAAGGGCTCCCACCCCCCGCGAGCGAAGCACCACAGGGACGACCATCCCCATGGAAGGGCAAGTCGCCCGAGGACATCAAAACGTTCTGGCTTAACGGACTCCCAGAAACCAGAGTGGCCAATTGGGAAAACAGTCCTGTGCATGAGATATGGAACTTGTTGAGCAGGGAAGAGCGATTTTCCCTTATATTCGAAAACCCCGATGCCAAGAAGTGGCCGTACTTGACGCCCGAGCAAAGATTGTACCTCTGGCAAGAGAGGCCTATTTTGAAGTCAAGAGACAACCAGAGACTGTGGGCACTGTTGACGCCAGAACAACGCGAAACGTATTGGAAACAGGACCCCAAGCGATGGCAGAACCTGACGCCGCAAGACCAAGAGACAGTTGTTCAATCTGTTCGTCAGAACCCAATTTTCGAAGGCTTGGCGAACGAGGAAATACGACGAATCGTCGCAAAGATAGACAAACTGGCGCCAAAGGACCGTCTGGCTCTATCTAACTCCAGGATCGAGAAGATGAAAGAGGCAGTCATAGAGGCGCTTGCTAAAGAGAGTAAGCAGCTTGCAACAGAAGCGGGAAAAGCAGCCAAGGCAGAGGAAGAAGAAAATTCAGTGGGCGGCTAGGCTACTAGCATTTCCTCTTTGGAATTCTGAAAGGTTTATCTTAAAATATTGGAGATTACCTTCAGGATCCGTACCATGTGGACAGAAGTAATTCTACTAGAGGGGGAATATGGCTATGGTAGGCCTGCAATCGGTGCTGCGGTGGCTTGGTGAATAGGAGGGTAATGCTTGTGGTAGTTACTAATTTACCCTTGATATAAAGTATCCCTTGTTACGCAGTAATAGTTATACTCAACTCAAGGTCTGGAAATAGCCACCGGCCAGTTGTCAATAACTTGCAACACCTGTACTCCGCACCAAGTACGAATTCGCCGCTTACAATTATGATATGTCGAAGGTGACTTGTCAAGTTCAATGCCCGATTCAAGACAATGGCATGCTTGCGAGGTGATTGCATTCTAGAGTCCGTGATTTCTGTATGATCCCACACCTGTACGTTACAGTACGTAAGAAATCAAGTGTCTCTTGTCGCCCACTTCAGACATCTTGTCTTGCCCGTGCGTGTTCCTGTCTGGTTACATTGAACCCACTGTGCTACGTGACAGGGCACATTTCGGTGTTTGTTGGGCATGCCCAGCTCATGAGTCAACCGGAGATGCGGAAGAACGTCCAATACAGCATCAACCGTTTTATCCATCTCATATCATGCCATTACGTTGCGCAGGCTTCAATTCTCCGATTGGGGCTCACATAGTTTGATGGAGTACGAATGACTTGCTGCTTCGGGATTTGTATATTATTCTTGACCACGAAGAACTAGACGTCTCGAAGCTGGCGTGAGTAATTCTAGTTGCTAGCGTGCCGTCGCAATGAATTCCTTATGAGTGGTGTTGCTTCCATCCTCATTCACAGGCTGGAAGCACACACACTACAGAGGGTGTTTGTTGAGTCTTGAAAACAGCCCCGTACTATTACAGCGTTGCATTGGCTTGGACGGTGACATGACTTTTTGTGTCGTCATTAGGCTGAGTCTACATCGGAAGACTTATTGCAGGTTGAATATCCCGACAAGATTCTAAATGTATATGGATGTCCTTGGGCCGTCGGCTGATTTCGAAGCATACAGTTGTGCAGCTAATTGAATGTGTTTATTGACCTTAATGAGTGTAAGTTTCTAATAGAAGATGCGAGTATAATGAGTAAACGGAGAATATCGTGCCTCTCCCCCAATATATCCATCCCCGTTATTCTCCTGAAAATGCCAGCATCAAATGCTTTCGCAAGACACGGCACAAGCTTCACAACAACAAATTAACGCCATGTAAAATGACGTTAGAGTCAGAAATGAACAATCATAACCAATACATAAACATCACCAGCCAAACACTTGTTGACAAGATGATTTATTGGCCGTTTCGTAGCTTGGGACGAATTCTCGTTCAAAGACTCTCCTCCTCTTTATCGTTGCCTCTATCAGCACACTTGTAGCCCTGGCTCCAGCTGCAATAGCCCGAGCAGCAGCTAACATTCAATTTGCACTCTAATCAAGAATTAGGACAATACAAATACGGAGCCGGCAGTTGATACGTACTCATGCCATTTTTTCGACAATTTGGCCACACGGCTGGATCATCAGAACCTGACATGACGTTGATCACAACGGCAGCCTGAGTAGACGGCTTGGTTTCTTCCTCTGGGACTTTCACAGAAACAAGGACTTCTTCATTTTCGTATTTGAAGAATTGAGGCGCAGCAAGCGCGGCCGTGGCAAAAGCAAGAAGGATAGAAGTCTTGGCGACCATGATGGGCTTCTAGATGGACTGAAATGCTGACGGCTGCTGAATCATATATAATTGAGCGGATTGAAGTATGAAGACTTGATGAACTGATTTAGTGTCCAGGCTGAAGAAGTAATTGGGAGTCAGTTGCGGTTTATATAGTTGAGCGGAAGGCGGGGCCCAGAGGCCATGTCGATCATGTCCAAGAATTCCTCTCCATACCGAAAGATCGACTGATGTCAAAGAGTCCGGTGTAGCTTGCGAATGTTGCCACATGCTCGATTCTCAAGACATGCATCACCCGCTACCTGTGGAGTGAACATGACATTTCATATTCTTCATCCTCTACCACAGAGTTTTATCAACTCTTTGCAGTTGACTTGTCTCATCTCACAAGCTTTCGTGTGGTCAAATCACAGTTGCCGCTCATCATCCCCGTGATGATCCCATCACACTGCATTCTGAGAATCCGCAGGGGGGTTCAGGTTAGCGGGCTCGATTGTGCCAAAATTTTGAAAAAATGACGAGGCGGTTTATCTTGTAAAGTCATAGTATCATCAGATACAAATACATGTTTCATAGATGAAGACCAAATCGTACTCCTGTTTTGTTAGAGTGACATTGCACAAATAAGTGACGCTCCCTTGAATGAGCGACTCGATCTCGACAATAGCTGTGTTTGTTTTTGTCTCCATGGTCTGATGACCTGAGTAAGAAATGCATGAACGCACCAGTAAAGCCGACGGAGCTGCAGCATGTATGTATCTTTCAGGTGGGATGCATGCATATTGGAGAGACATGCAGCAGGGCTGACTCGACATTTCTGACTCGACTTTTGATACGTTATCTGCAACAGTTGCTCGAATACCAGCCTCTCTACGGAGTACTCTGTGTGTGTAAAATTGACCACCCTGTCCCACAATCGTGATTCATCAAGGCATCGTGGCCGCTTTCATTCCCCGATACGTCTCATTCCAACTCTCCTTTTCTCGCCGGTGCGCCATTGCCAACGATTCCTCTCCATCACAAGCATGTCTTTCACAATGTTACTTGGTCAGCCAAAGTCACCAGCTTCGTCGCAGTAGGGCAAGACATACTTTCTGACTGCATGGAGCAAAGTGCGCGGCCAACCATGTGCACATCCCGGCGAATATCCCAGCAGTAATACGGAGTCCTCCGCGCTCCATGTCCCCATCATCACACTTTAGAAACCAGGATCTTTTCTTTAATATGATATCCTCTAACATCTATTTCCTTCTTGGGTCAGTCATTGCTATCTACATCGCTCACGCGACCCAGTAACCGGCTGGAAGTTCGACGACTCGACAACAAATGCCGCGGGGCTGCCTCCTTACACGGCGCGTTTCTGCTGTTGGCCACAGTCTGTCCGCAATGGCAGATGAATGTCAATACGAAGGCAAATGTGTGGAGGAGTGGAGTGGACATGCGTCGCATTTCCAATGGTCAGGATATCGCCCGTCGGCGCGCCCGCAGTGTCTCCAGCGGCGTTGCTTACTGTAACGTCTACTTCAGCCAGCCACATCTGATGAATTGTGATGAACGATGCGGGGAAGATATCAAACCCCAAAAAACACTCTCTCAAGGACCCGGAGCACAGTTTAGGATTCTCATGGCCTGACCGCGTGGAGAATCAGCCTGACTAGCTGCATCAATGAATCCTGGCAACCAGCGCTTTTTTGATACCGTGTGTAAGAAATTATTAGTACGTTCATAGTGGATAGATGGTTGGACGGCAATGGAGAAACGAAACCAGCGATAACTAATCAAGAGTATTGGCGGACAAACAGCATTTGATGCCAAAGATACACAAGCCATCGACAACAAGAACCAGCAACAGCAGCCAACAAATTATTTCGTCTTTAGAAATTTGCCGATTATAGACGAATTTTCTTACGTAAGTTAAGGACTAACAAGTGACAACATTTTGAACGAAACGTATATTATTGACGGGCATATCTATTACCTGTCAGGCCGCCAGCGTCCTGCACTGTATTATTCCTCCTTCTCGCCCCCTTTAGGCTCTTCCTTTGCCTCTTCGCATTTTTTCTTATCCTCCTCTGCTTTCTTCTCAGCCTCCTCCGCCTCCCGTTTCGCGTTCTCGGCTTCTGTCTTGGCCTCCTCGACCTCCTTGTTACCCTCTTCAACAGCCTTCTTCATATCTTCAGCCACCTTCTCAGCCTGTTGGACGTTGCTCTCATCCAATTTGGCCTTATTCTCGAATTCCTCAGCCTGTTTCTCGGCATCTTCGGCTCTCTTCTTGGCCACTTCGACCATTTGCTCGCTTTCCTTGACCTTGGCCTCGGCCTCCTGAACCTTTACTTCAGCTTCCTTGACTCTCTGCTCAGCCTCTTCAGCCTCCTTCTCTGCTAGTTGGGCCTCAGTCTTGCTTTCTTGGGCCTTCTTTTCATCCTCCTCGACTACCTTTTTTGCTTCTTCAACAACTTTTTCAGCCTCGGTAGCTTTTTTCTCATTCTCTTGGACCTTTGTCTCACTTTCTTTTGCTTTCTTCTCAGCCTCTTCGGCCTTTTTCTTGGCTTCCTCTACTTTCTCCTCGGAGGCCTTTGCATTTTCTTCACACGCCTCATTGGCCTGCCCGGCTTCACCTTCAGCGCGGGCAAAGAAATGTGCCGCTATAATATTACCCATGGAGCTTGTGGCTCGGCCCTGTGCATAATTACGGCTGTTAGCTATTTTTGGTGTCATGGTGTGCCTCGGCTGATGTTGGTTTTTTCTTACCGTGATAAGATTATCCGCCGCTGGGTTCATTCTGACAGCTACATAACGTTTAGCGATTCTCTCATCTTTTCTCGATGCAGCTTGTGTCAAAACGTACATGGATGAGACCCGGCTTTGCCCATTGCCAAGGGAGTGGCAGAAGCGAGCGGTCCTGAGACGGCGACGACATAGACGAGAGCCTGATTGAACTTCATAGTGCTCGTGTTAAGGAATTATGTATGCTAGTTTATTATGGGACGAAATGTACTAGGTATGACCAGTAATAAGTTTAAGATTAGAAAGACTTGGCGATATGGGAAAATTGGGTCGGTAGACATGGCCGAGAATTTATAGAGGTCTTGACAATCGAAGCTTCTTCACCCCCATGACTCGTAGTTTACACAAGGCTGTTCAAATTATCTCTCTCTGAGAACGGGGCTTGACTCTCGCAGTGCATTTAAGACTATTCTTGTTAGATCAGCAAAGGTCAAACTAGTGAATGACATATTGTGTACTAAAGGAAAGCTTCCCATTAAGCTTGATAACGCGACATTGAAGAAGCATCTAGCGTAATTAGTGCGGCGATAGTGGCACAAGCCCTGTGTATCGAATTGGCGTTTCGCGTAATGAGGCGGCGTCTAGCTCTCCAAGTCGCAACGGAAAGGAAGCCGATCGTCAATTCCGATGGGGTCCGGAGAATTAGAAGGGCGCAACCTGGGACATGAACGAGTACAAGGATCTCGGATCGGAGAATTCCGTGCCGTGTTTGCCGTGGTGGAGAGGGATTACAAGGATGTGGAAAGCTGATGTTAAGATCATGAAACAAGCTGAAGCACTTGGCGGCTATAATTAGAGGCATCGAGTTAAGATGGTCTGGAACACATCAATGGCCATCCACTGCTCTAGCCGTTTTTATGTGTAGCGTCTACCCCGCCTATCTGGAACTTGCAACAGAGTCTTCGAGGAGTTAATCAACAAAGTTGAGTCCCAAGGTGAGCCCAATGCATAGCTATTGGCGATGCAGGGATTTCGTAGTTTGAGCTAGCAGCGCAGTTTCGCTCGCTCGGCTTCTGGATGAGTATACTCCGTTGATAGGTTAGGAAAATATGATATAATAACCGGTTATGATGGTCTGTAAATAACCCGTTCCAGTTTGGTAGGCTGGCCGGCTTGGGCAGTCGTTTGGTGGAAGCTAGCATAGTGTCAAATTTGTCACGATTGTTGCAAAATAGAAGAACTAAAAAGAAAATCCCAAGGCCCACAACAAGTACAACATGCATGATACGTAGGAGCTCATTACGGGCTTACCAGTAATGGATGAAATGCTCCGGAGAGGTCAGTAGTGCTGTCGATCAATTAATGTCAATGTCATGAATGAAAGCCAAGGCCGCACTGATGGCGGATGTAAGGGACATTCCGCCGTTGGACTGATACTGCTAGACGTTCTGGTTAATGAATTGATGGTCATAGCTAAGAAATCATGATGACTTCTCGCCGCCTGTTCAGAATGCATGCCTTCTTTTCAGTTATTGCTATTGCCGAAAGGATGGGAAGAAAGCAGAATGAAAGTGTTCCGAGTGTAAGCCGAGCTTTGAGTATTCCACATCCGGTTCTTTAATCATGCCGCATAGCCCGGTGAGCGCCTCATGTGTATGTCGTTAACAGCATACGCCACACATCTATGTAGCAAGAAGGGAGGGCAAGTCTAAGCTTACGAACCCTGCCTCATTTACTCATGGCTGAATTTTTTTCACAACTTCCTCTCCTTTAGTAATGCTACCAGCTTGCTCAGAGATTTCATCGGGCTCTGCCGCACCGTTATCAAGACATGTGAGCACGTCGAATAGAAGGATTCGCTCTTCAGGAATGGGCTTCCCGACTGCTCGGGGGCTTGGACAGCTTTGATCGTACGCGCTCCTCAGGATGTCATCATAAGAATTCTATCATTAGAAGAAAATTTATTGCTATTCATGCTTGCCCGGTTGAGGTTTAAGCCGCGGGAATCCTTCCCTCACATGTTATACAAGGCCGACGCTGCATCAGACCTTACACCTCCCGAAGGATGCTTCATCAGGTCCGCCATTTCTGACATTGGCTTCTCTGGAAACACCTCTCACCCCGTTCAGACCTGCAATTCCTGCAGGTGAGCCGTACAAGTCTCGTCTATCAGCAGATCCGACATCAATATTCCGTATTCGCTGGAAAAGGTAAGCGAAGGGATATAAGCAAATTAATGGCAGTCCCCTGTAACACCCGCGGGATTCTCCCTATAAGCATGAAACAGCGGT